GTGTGTGTGTGTGTGTGTGTGTGTGTGTGTGTGTGTGTGTGGCCAGAAGCCAAAATCTAGTGCTGTTGCTTAGGATGCCATCCACCTTACATTTGCTTTTTAAGAAAGTCTCTCAGTAGCCTAGAACTGGTGGGTTCCTCCAGGCTGGGAGGCCTGGGAGCCCAGCTGCTCCTCCTGTCTCATCCTCCCCAGTGCCAGGCTCACGTGAGCATGCCAGGACATCCAGGTCTGGCGGAGAAATGACTAGTTCCTCATGTTTGCAAGGCAGACACTAACAGCTGACCAATCTTTCTACCCAAGTCCCCGTTTCTTTGAAATGACATAAATAATGATGGAAAGTTCTGTGTCTGGGTTGGGGGAATTGTTACCAAGGGACAGCTTAGCATATTAGGTGACAAAAATTATTTAAATTTTTTCTTGAGCTCACATGGCATTAATGTGAGAAGTGAGGAGTGAACCTGTAGGTTAAGATATCTTTATTCAGATAATACCAACCAAGCACCAAAATTTTTCTTGAGCTCACATGGCATTAATGTGAGAAGTGAGGTGTGAACCTGTAGGTTAAGATATCTTTATTCAGATAATACCAACCAAGCACAAGCCAGAGCATGCCCAGAGGAAGCAAGCTAGGGAGGCCAGAGAGAAGGGGTTCCCAGTGTCTCCCGCACCTTAAGAAACCCCACACATCATCCTGAACACCCACCTGACCACGCCCTGACAGGCGTGGTTAAGCACACCTGTAGCCAGCCCTTAGGAGGCGTGGTTACAGTGTCTCCCTACAAAGAAGAAAGAGAGAAATGCCCAGAAATCCCCGTTAGTCAATCAACATAACCCTTTCCCCAACTGTTAGGATTTAAAAGTTATTCTTCTATCTTTATGATGTGGAACAATAGCAGCCAAAGTTCCCTGTAAGTGGTTCTCAAACTCAAGTGCAAAGCCTCCCCAGGCACACCAGTGGATCACTGTTTCCTTTCTTTTCAGAGCACAAGAGGAAGCTATGATTGCCACTGGGGGAGTCATCACCGGTCTGGCAGCCCTGAAGCGACAGGACTCCGCCAGGTCCCAGCAACATGTCAACCTCAGCCCAGCGCCTGCTGCTCAGGACCAGAAACCAGTCCGACGGCGCCCGCGTGCTGATGTTGTGGTGGTTCGTGGGAAAATCCGGCTTTATTCTCCCTCTGGCTTTTTCCTCATTCTGGGAGTGCTGGTGTCCATCATAGGGATCGCCATGGCAGTGCTTGGATACTGGCCCCAGAAGGAGCATTTCATTGACGCAGAGACCACCCTGTCCACCAATGAGACACAGGTGGTTCGGAACCAGGGCGGCGTGGTGGTGCGCTTCTTTGAGCAGCATCTGCACTCTGACAAGATGAAGATGCTTGGCCCATTCACCATGGGCATCGGTATCTTCATTTTCATCTGTGCCAACGCCATCCTTCACGAGAACCGCGACAAGGAAACCAAAATCATCCACATGAGGGATATCTACTCCACGGTCATCGACATCCACACCCTGAGACTCAAGGAGCAGAAGCAGGCGAATGGCCTGTATGCGGGCTTGCTGGGAGATGTGGAAGTGAAGCAGAATGGCAGTCCCTGCGCATCCAGACTGGCCGCCACCACCTTGGCCTCTTTCTCAGGGTTGCGCAACAGCTTCCGTGTGGACAGCTCGGTGGAGGAGGATGAACTGATGCTGAGTGAAAGTAAGAGCCTGGGGCATCTCATGCCCCCTTTGTTGTCTGACAGCGCAGTCTCTGTCTTTGGTCTTTATCCACCTCCATCCAAGACCACCGATGACAAGACCAGCAGCTCCAAGAAGTGTGACACCAAATCGATTGTGTCGTCATCCATCAGCGCTTTCACACTGCCTGTGATCAAACTTAATAACTGTGTCATTGATGAGCCCGGTATAGACAGCATCACTGAGGTGGCAGACAACCTGAAAAGCAGATCCAGGAATCTTTCTATGGATTCCCTTATGGTCCCACTGCCCAGCTCTGGTGAGGCCTTCCAGCCTTCCAGCACATTACTGCCAAGGAACAATTCCGTTGGAGAATCCCTCTCGAGTCAATACAAGTCTTCTGTGGCCCTGGGACCCGGGACTGGGCAGCTGTTGTCTCCTGGAGCTGCCAGAAGACAGTTTGGATCCAATACATCCTTACATTTCCTCTCCTCCCACTCTAAATCCCTAGACTTAGAGCGGGGTCCCTCCACACTCACAGTGCAGGCGGAACAGAGGAAACACCCGAGTTGGCCTCGGTTGGATAGAAGTAACAGCAAAGGATACATGAAACTGGAGAACAAAGAGGACCCCATGGATCGGTTGCTGGTTCCCCAAACAGCGATCAAAAAAGACTTTACTAATAAAGAGAAACTTCTTATGATATCAAGATCCCATAACAACTTGAGCTTTGAACACGATGAGTTTTTGAGTAACAACTTGAAGCGGGGAACGTCTGAAACCAGATTCTAGTGTTTAAAAATAGTTTTCCAAGGAGATATATTTTCACCAGTGTTTTCCTTCCTAAAGCATTGGTTTTAAGCCTTTTAAATCAAATGGTAGTGTGTTAGAAATGGCTGGTTTATTCTGTAATGAAGATGGCTGTATGTATGGGTTCCTTTCCCTGCAGTACTGTAGATTATCACGTGGGATTTTGTTTTCTCACTCTTTGAAAGCATGGTTTCCTTTGTTGACATGAAGACAAAATACCTGCATTCATATTAAGAACTTGGCTTTACTTTTAAATCCTATCGCCAATTTATCATCTTCATAGAATGAAGTGGCCAGTGCAGAAGGGATAGGGCACCAAAGTGTGGGCAAGAAGTGTTCAGCTCAGGTCCAGTACTCAATAGACGTATTTATAAGTGAGGGTGCGTGCAATCGTAAGATGTATTTTTTTCTGAATGATTGTTTTATATTGGATTGCTTGCATTACTAAAAGAGAAGCAATTTCCATTATATCTGTTGTGATTCTTACTCTACGCTCTTTGTGGGAAGTAGATCCTTTTTCAACACCAGCTCTGATAGGATGATAGTTTAATGAAAGAAGCAATGACTGAGAAGGCCATGGTTTAGGGATGGTTATCAAAAAGCTATTAGCCTCAGAGTCAAAACTTCCCAGCAAATTGATTTGAAAATTGAATGATCCAATGTAGTATGTAGAATTTCTGTCTTGACACATGCAGAGAAACTGCTGCCTAAGAAATGAAGATAGTGTTTGCTAGTATCTAAATTTTTAGCCTTCTGCTGTTATCCACTATTCGCTCATTCCCATATCCTTATTTTCCTCCAATATTTTTTTCATTATTTGAGAAATAGTCAGCTAACCATGGCATTTCTTTGTATCTCCACATACCACCAGCTTGGTTGTTAAAGAATTTTTAGCACCTAATAAACTACCTTGTAGTTTACTTTGTGATGGAAAACTTCCTGCTCACTCCAAAGACCCTCTCATGGTTGAAGACATTTTTAGGGTTGTGGTTCTCAAATATAGTAAATGGTCAAATTTACTAAATATGCTAAATACTAAATAATAATAAAGTGGATGTTTCCATAAGATGTTTTTCATGTTTTCCATGGAGGGAAGACATTTTTCAGAATTGTTTACTGGGGTCCTAGAAGGGTGGCTCAGCAGTTAAGAACATTTGCTGCTCTTGCAGAGCACCCTGATTCCATTCCTAGCACCCGCATGGGTGGCCCACAATCATTTGTAACTCCAGTTTCAGGGGATCTAATACTCTCCTCTGGCCTCTGTGGGCACCAGGCATGCATATGGCATACATATATACATGCAGACACTTATACACATAAAAAATCTTTTTAAAAATGTCAAGTGGAGTACTCAGGAAATTTTACTGGTTTTCCCCAAAGCCTAAACATTTCTGAACATTCCTATTGCCATCGCTAGGAAGAGCAGCAAGGGTACATCCATAAGAGTGGCTCCCCAGAATCCCACCCTGTGTTTACACAGACATCTTCTTTCTTGAGAGGTACTCTGCTTCGTAGAACCTCAAGCCCGTGTGTTATAATATACTAAGCTCAATATTTTACTATAAAAACATTTAATAAACTTCTGTTATTCATAGAAGTGTGTGGTCTTCACCTTTGCTATTATTTTTAAATAAAATGTACATTTCTGCTTAAAATACTGGTTTGCAAACTTTCTGC